AAAAAAAAAAAAAAAAAAAAAGAGAGAGAGAGAGAGCAGAGGTTATCTTGTGTAATATGAGACAACACAAGAATAGTAGGTCCTGGTGAACCCCCGACCAGAAACTAGTGTCAGGGTAAGTCACAACAGACTTATTTGTACCTGAAAGAGGAAAATAACCATAAACAAAGCAAGGGAAACATTCTAAGATACTTCCTTAGTAAGGCAGATGAGGAGGCATGAGGTTATCCCAAATGAACTGTGCCATATTCATTTTCTGGTGTCCAAATAATTGCCCGTGTCCTGACACAGGATGAGATAATGATTACTGCCAGAGAAAATGAATCTCTAACTTCGTGATCCCACTACGTCGGGAGGCACACATTCGGTCTTTAGCAAGACTAATACTCAAATTTTCCAACTACTATGGTGGGGGCACTGGCCAAACAGCACCCAGGCCTGGAATGTGGGGTGTTCTGAGCATTAGCCCTTTGGTTATGGGATTGCAGGGGGGTTGGGGTATGTTTGGGACAGGGGAGGAGCTAAGTGGTGGGACTGGGGTCTTTGCAACTCAGCCAAGGCCATTTACCAATGAAAATGGAATTATAGGTGCTTGAGAATTTCAGGAACCGCTGAACTCATAGCACTGCACACCCACTGACCAGCAGCCCTGGTCTCCAGCACTTGACAAAGACCTTGGAGACTATGTCTTCTGGAAGGAGGGTCTGTAAGAGCTGAGGAGGGGATGGGAGCAAGGGCTGACATGGTGTTCTGAAAAGATTTCTGAACAGGGCCAAAGGCAATGAATTTGTCATGTGTGATTTCCTCTGGCAGCTCTCCACAGCTCGGGCTCAGGCACCTAGAAGCTGATGGTCTGGCACAAGCCAAGTTTGGGCATCAGCAGGGCAGGTACCCCCAAAGGCCGAGGGATCAAGCAGGATGCTGATAGTGTCAGCAACAGCCTGGCTGAAGAGATGGGGGAAGGGATCAGAGCCCTTGCGGGACTGGTAGGCAGACAGCTGGGGAGGCTCCAGGGCCAGATGCGTCTATGGAGCACCTGCCCCGTGGCTAGCCCACACGGAGATGTGCTCGGAATGTAAAACATGCATCAGATTTCGAAGACTTGGTGCAAAATAGTGTGAAACATCTCATTGATTGGAGTATTGTTATCTTCCCTTTACATGTAAGAAACCAAAGCACAGAGAGGTTCAAGAGCACGCCCCAGGTCACACACCCGGGATGGGGCAGAAGTGAAACACGACTCTCGAACTCAAACGCTCAGCCACAAGTCTGCTTGGCCCAAACTCTGCGAAAGGCCACATCAAGATGCTGTCTCTTTCTTCTCCCTGACAGGTTATTCCTACATTAGCATGAAGAAAGGAAAGGAAATGTCCTATGTTGAGAAAGGAAGGCTTTGGGGGCAGGAGACAAGTTGGGGAGTGGGGAGGGGGCGCACTGAGGTGAACGTGTGGGTGGAAGGTATTTAAGGCTCGTCCAAATGATGGAAGGGAAGGTCAAGTGTACCAACTTTAAAATAACAGTCAAATATCTGGGTAGATGAAAGAAGTGATTCTAAAAATAGCATCTCCTTAAAAGATAAGATGAAGACAATTTATGTAACTATAGTCTTTGAAGGAAAAGAACAAGTATTCCAAAACTCTGGCCAAACACCAACTTGGATTCGTGGCTTCATGCCATACAGAACGCTTCATGTCTGTATCTTAAATGTTCTTTTGTAACTAAATATAGCTCTCTGTGTGTTTGTATTATTAGAACTTTCGTTCATGATGTATCTGATAGGGTTTCTTCAAAAATCTTAATTTGGTCCTGCTTGACTCCTAGTATAGGTCAAAAAAAAAAAAAAAAAAAAAAAAAAAAAATCAAGTCCATGGCCTCTTACAAGGAAGGCTGTTGGTCGGTCTACACCTAGGGCTCCTGTAAGAAGATTCTGCTTTCAAGAACAATACCTCCCCTTCCCCACCGCCGCTGATGACCCTTTTACAGTCACTGGTGGTAGCGATAGCTGTCACTCCGATCCTGTGGGCGTTGTGAATGACATACATCAACCGGCCCGTCTCTGGGGCGAAGGCTCGGATTCTACCGTCGTCCCACGCTGGCGTGGAAGGGGAACAAAAATCAGGCAGCATCAGTATACTCCTACTCTCTGTGAAGACTGTAGCTCTCATAATCACAAAGGAGTCAGGACTGGGGAGCAGTGGTGGTGACGGAGGAAAGAGCCCAGTCTCCCACAACTCCCTGGAATCGTATCCCTCTTTCCCCTGACTCCCCAAACCGGCCACACCTGGCTGGAGGAAATGGCTGGCTTGCCTTAGTTGAATCTGCCTCTAGCTGCACCCCATCCCAGGAGAAAACATTTTTATGGGGGGTGGGGGGGGGGGAGACAGAGGCCATTTCCCACCTCTCCCAGCTCTCCCGGAGCTGCAGATCTTGTACATTTGATTGGCTAGCTGATACTGCACCTGGGATGGGGAATTTAATATCTCCAAACACATGTTGGCTTCCTACCCTTCCCTCTTTAATCCCGATGCTCCTTCCCCAACTCCTGCCATCTTTCCCATCTCAATAGAAGTTGCCACCATCCATCCAGTTGTTTAAGTCAAGAGTTTCAGTCATCCTTGATTCCTCTCTATTCCATCCACCCAACTCCACCCAACGCAACCCAACATCCATCAGCAAGCTCCACCAACTCTAGAGCTAAAAAACATCCTGAATCTGGCCACTTCTCAACCCTTCCGCTGGGCCCACCCTCATCCAAGCCACCGGCATCTCTCTCCTGGGTTGTTGTAACAGCTTCCTCCTTGGCCTCAGACTCTTGCTCCCTTCAAGGAATGACCTATGCAGGGGCCTGGGTGCACCTCTTAAAATCATGTCGACTCCCTGATCAAGAAAGTTCAAAAGGTTTTCTCACTACACTTCACAATTCAACTCCTTTATCCTCCATGGTAACTACTTTCCACTCCCTACCTAGCTCCCCACCTTCTCCTACCTCTCCCTCAACCGTGACCCCCACCCTACCCACTGAGCTCCAGGCACACTGGCTTCTTTCTGTTCCTCAAATACTCTAAGTGATTTCCCCCCTCAGGGCCTCTGCCCCTGCTGTTCCCTCTGCCTGGAATGCTCTTCCCCCAGGTCTTCATGCGGCTGGCTCCTTCTCATCAGCCTTAGTGTCACCTCTGACAAGAGAGGGGGTGAAGGGAGTGAGTCACGGGGCCCCCCGGTGAAAGAACAACCCAGGCAGATGGAATGTCCAGAGCGAAGGCCCTGTGCACCGTGTGCCTGAGGGATAGTAAAAAAGCAAGCGTGGCCAGAAGGGGTGAATGGTAAGAGACAGAGTCAGTGTTAAAAAGGTGGAGGTGGGGAAGGAGAGAAGGTCACAGAGGGGCCTTGGAGGCATCTGCAGGGATGTAGGAGTGAACCCTAGAAATGGCATGATCGGACTCACATCTTAAAAAGAATTTACTGGCTTCTGTGTTGACTGCAGACTGGGGGAGAGGGGTGGTGGGGAAGAACAGAGGTCGGGAGCCGTGGAAGAAAGCTGCTCGGATAATCTAGGGGATGGTGGTGGCTGAGACAAGGGAGGAGATGAGAAGTAGTCTGAAGTGAAGGCCATTAGAGGGAAATGCTGTAAGCCAGGAGCTCCCGGTGGTGGCTGCTGTGGGAAGACATGCCCGAAGGAGAAGACAATGGAGAGGAAACAGAACCAGGAAAAGAGGGGCTGAGATGGGCTCCTGATATCACCACTACAACAGCTACTCCTAAAGATACTCTTAACTCTTCCCTGATGTGAACACACGAACTTAACGTTTTGACCACTGGGGAAATTTGCTTAGGATGTGAACATAAGATGATACTGAGAAATTATTATTTCATGGCAAAATATTATTTTTAGGGATGTACGCCAAAGTATTTAGAGGTGGAATATGGCGTCTGTGCTTTATGTTAAAATGCTTTGGCGTGGAAGGATCAGCTGAGTGAAAAACGAATTCCCTTTGAGGCATAACACAGTTTAAGTCAGGTTTTTAATCCCTCAAATAACCAAAGGGGTTGTTAACATAGGTGCCCGAGACTCGCCGAGGCCTCAGATCCGTTTGGTAACCGAATTGCCAAATCCCCCTACTGGAGAGAAGGCTGCACGCTATATGCAGACATTTTGGGGGAAGAGAGATTGCTCTTTGGTCATTCTGAGCTCAGAAAGCCTCCCGGGGGGAAGGGAACTCTAAGGAGGGGCTGGATTAGAAGCAAGGAGGGGCGAGCTAGACCACGGGGCGCTGCTCCGGGGTATCCACCCGGAGAAACCGGCGTTGAACGAGCAGGCCAACTCCCAAAGCCACAGCCGGCACCCACGCCAAAGCCTGATAAGGACTACATTGCCGGAAATGATGTCAACGGTGCCGGAAGTAATGTCAATGGTGCCGGAAATGACGTCAACGTTACCGGAAATGATGCTCTTGCCGTCTCTCATGAAGTCGATGCCGTGGCAGGTCATGTTGGGCACGGTGATCCGCAGCAGCTCCCGGTTGGATAGCGTGTGCCACACCCTGATGTCTTTCTTGGCACAGGTGGCAAACAGCTCGGCGGTGCCACTGCAAAGGAGCCACGGCGAGAATAAAGAGGTGCAGCCATACGCGACTCATGCTGTTTCTTAGACGCACGTTTGACTCGCCAATGTATTGCACGAGGATATAGGGAAGGACGCCTTTTAGGCTCCACGTATCTCAAAGTCTGATGGCCTTACAGAAACCGCGTGTAAAATGGCATTCAATGCCCACACATCACCTGTGGGCCATCTTTTGTAGCCCTTTCCCCGGGAGGATGGGTTGGGAGGAAGTCGCCCAAAAGGAAAATGTCAATTTCAAAGTCTTTAAATGTCCTGGTGGACAGGAGATCAAATGGGTCTGTGGAATATTGATATTAAGACAAGCTAAACAAAACTTCTCCTGTAAAGTAGATAATCGTTAACAATTTCAAAGACAAAAATGACACGTGTGCTAGATTGCACGCCTGCAGATAACCTAAAGCATTACTTTGCTTGGTTGTGAGAAAACATGGGGCTCTGGACAAGGACGTGAACCCAGAGCGATTGGTTTGTCCGCATTTTTGTTTTTTAAAGGACAACTTGTAAATATAGTGAAAAACGCCATGATGTCAAAAATTACAGGTTATTCCAATTTGGATCAGAAAAAGAATACTGGGGTAAAGCCCACCTGCTTTATAGATATGAATTTATAGCTACAGCCTCTGTGGGGGCTGAGCTAACTTCTAGATACAAGGGCTTCTCAAGAAATCTCTACATTTCATCAAAGGCACATTCAGGAAAAGAGAGTCCCTCTCCCATACACTTTGGAATTAATAAAAAGTGGATCTTTTCTGTATACTTAGCTTTGGGGCTTGGAGAAAAACAATTATGATGTGGGCTAGAAACAATTATAATGTGGGCTAGTTACTTAGAAAGAGAGACTGCTGGAGGGGTGCCTGAGTGGCTCAGTTGGTTAAGCATCTGACTCTTGATTTTGGCTCAGGTCTTGATCCCAGGGTTGTGGGATCAAGCCCCTCATCGAGCCCCGCATTGGGCTCTGCACTGCGTGTGGAGTCTGCTTAACATTCTCTCTCACTCTTCCTCTGCCCCTCTTCCCCTGCTCGCATGTGCTCTCTCTCTCTCAAAACCAAACAAATAAATAATAATAATAATAAAATAAACTAGAGAGGCTTTATATAGGACACTGCCTTCAGTGAACGACCCCCTCCTGTGAGGAAAGTGAGGTTTTAAAGAGGCATATGGACTCCTTGTGAAAATCGAATATCACAGAATGGGCACGCCTAGAGAACGTTCCAAACTCTTCCTACCCTTGATGGACAGTCTACTTTTTCAGGAGTCTAGTCAAGACATTAGCTCTTCAAGGAGCAGACTGTCCCTAGTTTAGGATCTGAAAGGTTAAGTTCCAGAAAGAAACCGATTGGATCGAGATGGCTTATCAGGCCCGTGTGCCTCCCGTCTAAAAGCCCCTAAAATAAAGACACACATAAAGATGATAGAGAGAGGGGTAGAGGTAGAAGATGCAGAAGTAGATATGGGAAAGCAGGAGAGATTACCGTCAAATAGGCCAGAAATATTGAGGACAAAGAGAAATCAGCCAGATAGAATCTGCGAAGAAACAGAACTGGAGAGAAATACAGAATATTAAAATCACGAATAGACGGTACTTCTTGTAATGTTGGGAGCAGTGAAGCCACGCTAACCTTCCCACAGACAACAGTTGTGAACACTGGATTGAATTCATGACAACAGGGACCCCGAATCCCAAAGACAATGAAGACATTTGAAAGTAAACGGAAATCAAGGAGTGTTCGCTCTTGTAA